TCTGCCACTGGGAATAGCTTTCTTCATTGACCTTTCACCTATAGGCTATGCTTCTGTGTTGTTTTTGCTGTCTGCTGTGGTTGACTACCTGTGCTAGTTATTAAGTGCTGTTCTCTCAGCTCTAAACCTCCCTTCTGTGATGCTGTGTTTGGGATACTACAGCCATTATTTCTGCTTTGTCAGCAAGTTCCCAGTTAATGGAGATGTATCTGATAAGAAATAAAAATAAAATCCTAAGTCCCCCAACTGACTGAATGGACCCCTTCTTGGCCAGGGAGACCCCAGAGAAACCATGAAACTGAGTTCCTTGCCATGACCAGGATGGGAGGTCAGACACGTCTCATTACCCCCCCACCCACCCCCGCCCACACACACACATTCAATGCCATTAGGTTTCGTCTCTGAGGGCTGGACAGAAACCATCCATTTGGAAAGATGCACTCCACTGCTGCTGATTTCAACCAACCTCATGACTGCCCTTCCCTTTTTGCTGTGTTGGCTCAACCATGACCCAGCATTCCTTCCTCATAAGGGGCCACCAGCAATGGAGTGGTACTGACCAGTACATGGAGACTGCACAGGGGGATTTTTCATGTCCTCTGTTTCACTTTTTGACATCAGAGGGCTGAAAACTCCACCCTCAGCTCATGCTGACACTGCCATTTTTTGTATGTGCAACCCATGAAGGGGCATGAAGCTCAATTGCTCATGCACATGTTTCTCCTTTCATACATATTCATGATTTCTCCCATAGGTTATTAAATATGTATATTCAGCCACCCTGCTCAGCATAAATTCCTGGTCCCTTTACCATTCCCTCAAAGAGCTTGCTCTGGGATTCTGGCCAGAGGTTATGCTTCCCAGCCTGCAAGATGGCCGGCCTGCAGCCTGCAACCCTTCATGAGGAATGAAGCTCTCCTTTCCGAACTGAGAAGCTTCGTCAGCCTTCAGTTGACACTGACAATAGGGAGGCCTGGAGGCAGGTGGCAGCCTTGAGAAGGAGGAAGGGCCGCCCTACTCCACTTCCTCCTGGAGGCTTCCTGCCCGGCCCTGCTCCTCTGGGCAGTTCACCACCAGGACTTTCTCACCCTGCCGCCCGGGGGGCCAGTTCTCACTCTCACCCCCAGTTCAGCAGAAACAAGGAAAAGCCGTGAAAGGGCTGTGCTGTCATGAATGCTGGTTTTTATTTTATTTTATTTATTTATTTATTTTTGTTTGTTTTTATTTTAATTTAATTTTTTTTTATTATACTAACTCTAGATCTCAACATACAGAACAGAGCAGTTTCTATGTGATTCTGTTCAAGTTTCCCTTGAGATTTTCTTTTTTTGTTTAATTTTATTTATTTAATTTTATTTCAGCATATTATAGGGGTACAGATGTTTAGGTTACATATATTGCCTTTGCCCCACCCTAGTCAGAACTTCAAGCACATCCATTCCCCCCTCTTCCATAAATTGTATGGAAAGTTCCAGCCAGATCAGAGGGTCAGTCTGCCCACTGGAGGGAAGAGGATATCCATTTAAAGTGTGAACACGTCAGGGCACTTCCCTGCTCCTGGTGGCCCACCAGTCAGGAAATTGTATGTATTTCGACACTTTCTATCCTCAGCCTGATATTTTGTTTATTAACCTAAATTCATTATAGTATCTTTGTATACGGAAGAGATTTAAAATTAAGTATACAAGTGTTGCTAACCTTTTTTTTCACTTGGCCAATGTCATGCACTAACAGTCCTGAAAGACAAAAGCATTTGCCAGCAGGAAACACACCACTGGTTAGAATACAGAGTGACTTCAAATACATTCTGCGGACTTACAGGTTATTGGTATATGATTTCTGACCTCTCTGTCTCTCTCTACATACAGTGCTGTTTGTCTACACTTGGAGACTCTGTTCCATTCTAATTGAGTTGCTAGACAGCTCTCTTGTATGTAAATTCTCAGAGTACCAAATGTGAGTTAAAATTTTAAAAATTGGTTTAGATAAAATATATCCTCCTTCCTGTCATACCAAATTATGCGAACTCAGATATATTTCCATGATCTGCTTTTGTCTCTTGTCTATCAAACTGAACTCCCAACTGCTTCATTATAAAGTGTTTTGACCTCTTAGGAAATAGTTCCATACAGCTCTCTAGAATTTTTCCTTTTAATGTGAAATCTGGTAATAGTTTTCTGACGTCTAAAAAGATGGATAGGCATTTGAGAAGGAAGGAAGTTGAAAATGAAAAGTACTGTTTTCCAGTCCTAGGACTGAATAGTTATTGAAAATTATTCTCTTACGTAACTTTTCTAAAATGGTACCAAACCAGGAGGCATGTATATAAAATTTTAGGGCTAAAATGGATGTGAAAGACTAATCAGTGGCTTTGTAAATTATAAAGGTCATTTAGGTCATTTTGGATAAAATGATAATCTTACGTGTAAGAATCAAAGATGTGAAGTATGTTTTAGAATTAGAGAGCTATTTGCTATAGTGGCAGCCTACCATGGCAGAAACAGCAAGAAACCTGGAGTTGGGCATCTTGGATCTGAGTCCTGGTTGTGCCATTGGTACTTTAGGAGCCCAGGCAAGTTATTTAACTTCTCAGGTCCCATGTTCCTTGTTTGGCAAATGAGGGTAATTATATCCTTTGTTACAGGATGAGCAAAAACATATGTAAAGCACCTGCTACAGTGTCTGATCCACAGCAGTGAAAAAAAAACACTATTAAAAATAGCTATAAGGCTTTAAAATAAATATGGAAAATAACTTAAAATTTATACAAGAATCAACGAATAAGGAAGAAGTTTGAAGAGTAATCATATCACGAGACCTAAGCAAAAGGAAAATAACTGAAATGAATTTTACCTTTATGGATACCAAGTAAGAGTTATGGATTTCTTACTGTTTAATAAAGAATATAATATCACATCTTTAAGAGGGTAGAAAACAATCCTATCAAATTAAAAAAAAAAAAAAAAAGAACAACGTTGAGTCTTACGTAAAGCAAAATTGAAAATCCAAATCCAGGAATAGCAGTGGTAAAGAGAATGTGAAAAATAAACCAAGTCCTGGAGTCAATGTGAGTTTCCACAGTAAGGATTTGAATCTCAGCCCTTTGACTAAGAAAAAGAACAGAAATAAAGAATAAAATTCCTCTTCATACATCTACCTGCCTCTCTTTGCCTTTTCTTCCCAAACATCACCCGGTCTGAATGGGGGCGGTGATTTTAACTGTCCTACTTTATGCAGTGCTGTTCTTCTCTTAACCACTTCCGTACGAGCATCGACTATAGTAGACAGCCACAGATGAACGAGCACAGCGACTTTAGCTGACAGCCGTGATGTGACTTTTCTAATTTTTCATTTATCAAAATAAAATTGTGAACATTTAAAAATAACATAATGAAAACATATATGTATATGTTACCTATTCTGATTTACATTACAAGTGAAGCTGCCTGTAAAGTAAAACAAGCTTTCAGTGCTTTCAAGCTTTCCTTATCACACAAGAGCAAAACGGACTCGTCGTCAATGCACAGCACAAGCTATCGTGCGGACTGCGAGTGCCGGCTGGGGGCGAGGGTTCGTGGCCGGTGAGCGCCGTACCGAAGTGGTTGAAGATAATGAGCTATAGTGCAGAGTGGCCAATTTCAGCTGTTTGGTTAACCCGATCATTCTAAACTTGTTCCTAAGTCTTCGGGAAGGACTAGGACTTTATCTGAGTGACATTCTCTGTGGTGTTCTAATGAGGCAGACACTCCAGGGTTTTAGTTAAAGGGAAAAATTTAGGCAAAATGGAAATTGTGAAATGCATAGAAATATAGTTATTATTATCCTTAAAAACATCTTGAAGCCAGGTGCGGTGGTTGAGCCTGTGGTCCCAGCTACCACTCAGGAGGCTGAGGTGGGAGGATCGCTTGAGCCTAGGAGTTTGAGTCCACCATGGACAACAGAGCAAGACCTGTCTCTCAAAAAATTTTTGACACATGTAATCTCATTTTATTCTTGCATCCTGTCCATTTATAGATGTGGGATCTGGAAAGCAGAGGTCAGAGAGGTCAGTCCGGTGATTTGCATTTCTGCCAGCTTCCTCCTCACCAATGCACTTTCGGTTCTTCTGGGGGCAAATCTGATTTCCATCAGGGTCCTTTTTGCTTTCTTTTCTCCAGATGCTGTTATCTTCCTTCTCCTCTCAATGCCCAGCCCTAGGAAAGGTTGTGTCCTATGTCCTGTTCATTCGTTACCTGCTCAAGTGTTAACTAAGATACCAGCAGGAGAAGACTACAAGTGGTTGTGACTCCAAGATGTATTTGCATTTATTGAAGATGAAAATATTCTTTTTTGTGTTTCTGTGTTTGTCTCCCTTCCCTGTACAAATCACATTGATGTTACTATAAAGAAATACACAAAGAATTCCTTGTGAGAGCTCCTTTAGGCGACCAGAGATTTTGGGAATTCCTGGAAGATGGGAGGGAACGGGCTCCCCTGGCGGGTAAACCAAGCAGAAGCAGCTGCTGGTGAAGGAGCCAGGGAAACCACGGTGAGGAGGGGCTGGGCCCTCCAGGAGGACCCGGGAAAGCCACAGCATGGACTCCGCGGGTCAGCAGAGGAGAGTGGGAAGGGGCAGAATTCCCACTGAGTAACTGGAATTCCACCGCAGAGCTGAAACATAGCAGTAAGCATTTAGATGGAGGCACAAGCCAGTGACACGGTATCTAAAGACATGGAACTTAGGGTTCCGAGATGGGTGTTGGCATCTCAGCGTAAAGTCTTACTTTGCCATTGAAAGGGAAGTTGTCCTGGTTACCTGGCACCCTGGAGTGGAACCTGCCATACCTGTCACATAACACACCTCGCCTGTAACACACGAAACTCTGTTACTCTGGTCAAGGCAGGGGTCAGGGGCAGTCAGTTGCCTATACTAACTGATCAGCTCGTTTGTTAATGCCAGACAACCCCAGGAGCACCATACATTGACCTGTGTTTCTTTTGTGATGTTTATATTACTCAAGGAGAACAATTAACTGCAAGGGAAATTGATCTTTTGGAGGATACTATTGGAAAAATACTTTTAATGTTTTCTCGTGCCTGGATTTACTTTGAGAAAATATCACATTCAGAACAGACAACTCCCGATGAAAAGAGAAAAGTTCTTGTATTTTATGACTATGATTGCTGAAAGGAGCAATTCAAGCAAGGGGTGAAAAAATGTGATGAAAATCTTCCGGAGCACAGAGCAGAAAAGGCCGGGAGCTGGAGGGAAGGACAGCAAGGTCAGGTAAGTGGACCAATCCATGGGATCAGTCATAGGGTGGGAGTTCAAGAAAGAGAGAAGAGAAAGAACAGAGGAGAGGAAATAAGAAATGATAAAAGAAAACTTCCCTGAGTTATAAAAAGGCAAAAGCCTTTCTGTTCAAAAGGCCCATGACTGCCAGTACGAATGGAAAAGAATCTGAAAGCTAGATACATCCTCATTAAAATGTAAGAAACCAGGCTTAAAGAAAGCATCCTACAAGCTTCAGAGAGTATAGAATGAAACGCAAACAATTTTTTTACAACGAATAAGAATATGATCATTGGCTCTGTTGTGAGAAAACAAAAGACAAATACTTGCTTTTCGATGCCATCAAAGCTTGTTTACAATGGGCAGAGGGCCACATATAGCCCATAGGCCCATAGGTTTCTGACCCCTGCTCTGAGCTGTGAACATTCTTTTTTAAAAATATTTAATTGACACATAAAGTCCATATTTATGAAATAGAGAGTGATCTTTTAATATATGGATGCCATGTGTAATGGTCAAATCAAGATAATTAGCACATCCATCGTCTTGATCATTTAGCATTTCTTTGTGTTGTGAATATTCAATATCCTCCCTTCTGGCTTTTTGAAAATATACTCTAAATTACTGCTAACCATATTCACCATACAGTGCTGCAGAACACTAGAATTTATTTCTCCCACCCAGCTGTAACTTGAGACAAATACTTTTAAGCCTGAGGGAAATGATTTAAAATCCAAGCTCCTTTACCAGTCAAAATAGCAAGTGATAAGGCAAAAATAAAGGCATTTTCCATTATGTAAAAATGCAGAAAAATGTTTTTCATATGCCTCTTCTGGGAAAAATGAAAAACCAAGATGTGCTCCAGCAAAATGCAAATAATTCAAAGAATAGTGAATCTGACCAAATTGTAGGGGAAGGATCCCAGGACCAAGGGAGGGCAGTGGGTGGGAAGACACCTAGTTCAGGTGGGAGCAGGAAGACAAGGGACTTGGAGGACAGTGTTAAAGAAGTGAGGAATGTGTGGTTAAGAAATTGGATTTCATGTCTTCTTGTGTATGTAAAATTCCAGAAAAACTACACAGTTTTATAAGGAAGTTATAGCCTAGGTTGCAGCAAACTAAAATGTTGCAAGATTTTGAGCAGGTTGTAAACATAAAGAAAGAAAATGTGTTTTTTTTTTTTTTTTTGTTTTTTTTTTTTTTTTTTTGAGACAGAGTCTCGCTTTGTTGCCCAGGCTAGAGTGAGTGCCGTGGCGTCAGCCTAGCTCACAGCAACCTCAATCTCCTGGGCTCGAGCGATCCTTTTGCCTCAGCCTTCCGAGTAGCTGGGACTACAGGCATGCGCCACCATGCCCGGCTAATTTTTTATATATATATATCAGTTGGCCAATTAATTTCTTTCTATTTATAGTAGAGACGGGGTCTCGCTCTTGCTCAGGCTGGTTTTGAACTCCTGACCTTGAGCAATCCGCCCGCCTCGGCCTCCCAAGAGCTAGGATTACAGGCGTGAGCCACCGCGCCCGGCCAGAAAATGTGTTTTAATCGTATTCTTGGAGCAGTTTATTTTGTGTGCACCATTTTAATAGCATCGATTACATTTCCTTCTCTATAAGACCAACTGAACCACTTGGTTCTATGGTCACTAGTCTTTGTATTATCAATATTGTAAAACATGCTATTTTTATTTTGAATCTTTAGAAACAGTTTACAGAGAAAGCATGGGAAATAGGACATTTACATGTTATTTTGTATCTCCAGTTGCTCATCTTAAGACTGCGAAAGTAATCGTATTGCTGCATGGTTTGAGGAAGTACAATGCATGAGGGGAGCTGGACGAATCCATAGATGCCGAGTTTCTTGTTTTATATAATGGAGAGTCAAGAGATAATAAAACCGAGGGGCCCAGAAATAGAAGTTTAAGTGTTTTTTAAGTCATGTTATGTAATCATTAATAGAACTGAAAGTAATAAGATGATAGAAGTCAGGAGAAAGAGGAAGGGGAAATAAATGAAGAGTAGTGGGGTGCCAGCAGATGTTTAATTAAAATGCACGGATCAGAAATATGTGATGAACACGTACCGAGAGGCTGCAGACAGAGGGGGACCAGGCACAGACTCTGGAACCAGACCTGCTGGTTCAAGTCCTCCCCCAGCCATTGCTCACTGTGCTGTTTTATAGGGTTTTGGTGAGGGCTGATGAGCTACTGTATAGAAATGCACATACTGTGTGTAATACACATAATATATGTAGTACTAAGTAGTACTACTCAGTAGTACTAAGTAGTGTTATAGAGACAATCACCAGGGGTAATTTTCATAGTGCGAAATAGGAATTATTAGAGCAACTACCTTTGGAACATGGAAGTCAGGTGGGAATTGGGGGCCTAAGGCAAAGGATATTGATCCTAACCTTTCCCTGCTGTTTTTATCATATGCATGAATTATTATTATTGTTATCCTAACAAAATGTTGCTTTGGTTCTCAGGACACTCACCTCTAATACTGTGGGTACTGCAGAGGCAAGTCTTCCCTGACACCAGGTGTGTGGAAGCAGAAAGAGTCCACTCACTCACTGAATCTTGCAAGAAATAACTGGCCAGGCAGAAGAGGGCCTGTTCTCTGAGACCAGAGAAATGACAAGGCAAAGACAGAGGTCAAGGTGGCTGGGTGTCTGGTTCCCCGACCACGAGTCAGGACGCTGGCGTGTGAGGCCTTTTCCCTACCGTGCCCTGGCTGTGGCAGAATGGCTCTGGGGCAAACAGGGCAGCTCTGGTAGCTCAAGCATTTGGCGGTCTGGGTGAAGACGCAGTCTTCTGAGTCTCGGGGTTGGTAGACTTGGCTTGACCCGGGAGCTGCGGGACCAGGACGTCTGTGCATGGAATGGATGAGATACCCGGAGAGCCACTGGGAGTCCTCGGCAGGCTGCCCCCAGGGACTCTGACACTGCTGAGATCTCACGTGGTCTGGTAGAGCCGTGGACTGTCTATAAATGCTCACGTGTCGTCGGTGGGTCTACAGGCGTGTTAGGCCTGGGGATACGCGTGTTCCTGCCCTCACACTGTCACTGTCTCCCTCCTGGACCATTGCTGACTGTCACTGCCTGGTCCCCCTGCCTCCAGGCTCATCCAAGCACCGGAGCGGGAATGTCCTTCTAAAATGCAAATCTGAAAGGGATGGCGTGTAGAAAATGCTTTGTTCTTAGTTATTCACAGGAAAATTCCTTTGATGGAAAAGGCTGAGCCCAGTAGAGAATGTATCTTGATAAATCCACCATGTGGAAGAAGTAAGTAAAGTGTCTGTGTGTGTGAGAGAGAGAGAGAAAGAGAGAGAGGGGGCGAGGAGGAAGGAGGGGCAAAGTCGACACGCTATGGGGGGACCGGGACCACCACCCTTCAGCCTTCACAGTAAAAGACATGCTTCTTTTCTCCCAGACATCCTCAATGTTTGTTGAAAAATGATAAAGATTGATATTTTTGACCAGAGTGTTCCTGTTTACTGGTTTTCCTGTAAATGAAACATGAGCGAAGCCACCGCTTGTGCTTGCTTGCAGGTCAGGCTGAAGCAGGAGGATTGCTTGAACCCAGGAGTTTGAGGTTGCTATGAACTAGGCTGATGACACAGCACTCATTCTAGCCTGGGCAACAAAGCGAGACTCTGTCTCAAAAAAAAAAAAAAAAGAAATACTCAGGGACTTCCTGGTAGGCGAGTACACGTAGTACCTATATGAGGTCATAACCGGGTAACCTATGGCACAGGTATTGGGTCTGGGACCTCGGCATTCTGGCTTATGGGGAGCAGGGTGGGGATGGGGAGACTAACCCAGTTGCAGGTCAATCCCATCGTGGCCAGTTGGGCAATCTAGTGAACAGCATCCGAAATATTTGGCAAGCTCAGCTATGATCCAGGGAGTTGCTGCTATCGGGTGAACCCTGGTCTACAGGCAGAGCACGGCAGCAGGGCCACCTGAGAGGCAGGAACTCCCTGAAGTGAGATGGCCGGGCACATGGCAGTGCCAGGTGTTCAGCATGTGCCCAGCATAGCCCTGTTCTGGTCTTTGGGTCATTTGAACAGCATCCTTTGAAAAGACTCACATTGTGCTACCGGGGACTGTGGGCTGTCTTTATGGTAGACAGAGACAAAAGTACCAATCCCAAACCTTTGTTCTTAAATAGGAGATCCATTAGAATTATTGAAAGAGTATGTGGCAGCTACAAATGTTTACAGTGTTGTAATATGGACTATTTTTTTGTTTTGTTTTCTCCTCCCTTTTCTTTGTTGCATCAGAAAAATGGACTGCAAACATCTCCCCTTGCCTCATGAGAACCCTAAGCCTTTCTGGTTTGGAGGAGAAAGGCACACTGGTTTTTCTCCAGTTCCAGGGTTAACGAACCGTATGAGTCTGCTGTGAAGGAATAGGCACAGAGAAGCTAGGGGTGAAAGCAGATACAAATATTCTTGGAAAAGTGGGAGATGGAGGGGTGTGGAGTCCTGAACAAGGGGAGAGCCCGTGCGACCGTGGGCTCCGCCTTCAGAGGGACGCAGAGGGAGAGGCGCCACAGGCCCGGGCTCGCTGTTCCTGCCAAAGGCTTCTGGTTGCAGGCACGGCACAGGAGCAGGCGCAGGGTCTGGAGAGGCTGCGTAGGCAGGAGCAGTGGGTATCTCAGGCAACCGCGTGGACAGGTGGTGGCTATCTCATGCCTTGCGCTGTGTCACATCACAGAACTTTGAAATGATCACGGGGCAGGGGTGAGCAAGAATGGCTCAAGTTGAATTGTGTTTCATATCATTTCATAAAAATGGGAGCTCATCGCCGAGATTAAGTTGGATCGTAGAAAATAAGAAAGTGTGGTACTTCTTGGAGAAGATACAGTGATTTCGGTGATGCTAATGTACGCCGCACTGTTCCCTGGGGGAGTCTTGCACCCCTGTGCCTTCCTTCATGGTTACTCCTGTGTAGTGGATTTGGACGTATTTTTTTCTTTGACTGTAGTTGGAGAGGGTTCAGAGGTCATAATTACGCTGGTGAGGCCACATGCATTTTGTACTTCCCAATTAGATACTTTCCAGTCCCACTTTAAAATTCCTGCACAAGTGGGAAGTGCCTGTCCAGAGGAATTCCCACCACTCATGGTTGTCCTCGGTAGGTGAAATGATGTTTCCTTCATTGGCAACAAGTGAGGAAAAGAGGTGGGAAGGCCAGGCGTTACGAGAACTTGAGCCATCGACACGGCACAGGAAGAGTCAGCCCTTGGTGGTAGTTGTAGCTTCAGGGATGACTGGACTGAAAAAGACCACTTCACATAGATGGTTACAGAGCAGGCGTAAAGCCGGTGCAAGCTGGGTGCGTCCCAAACTGGCGTAGGAGCAGTGCTCGGGCACGTGCGTTTGTGGCAGTCAAAACATAAAGATGAGATGTGATCTTATTTCCCATCACAAGACTCTCTTTGTTCCTCATGTTTAGAATCCATGTCCCTGACCTGCTCCTTCACCAGGTGGAGAGAGCCCCCCTCGCTTCCCAGCCTGTGTGTGTGTGTGTGTGTGTGTGTGTGTATGTGTGTGTGTGTGTGTGTGTGTGTGTGTGTGTGTAGCATTGCAGTTAACCTCTCTGACCTCTGATCTTTTCATGCTAATGGTTTGGATACCTCCTTGAGGCCTATTTAGGACCAAGACATCTCACAACATTGCTGGACGTCCTTTTAGAGAACAATTGATACACTTGACTGCCAATGAGCTGATACGTGACACCTTCCCATGGCAGTGGTGGCAGCTCCAGCTTTCTATCTAATCACATTAGCTCCTCTCTGCACTCAAACAAGTCAGAAGCAATCATCTTCTAATCCAAGCCTGATAAGCAAATGCAAACACTGTCAGGGTGTGATGCTAATAGGACGAGCTGTGAAGGCTGCTCATATAATACAGACACATCATGTGGGTATAATAAGCCAGTTAGAAAAGTAGTGAATATAGATTTTCTGTCTTTTACTAAATCCATTTTCTTTTCCACAAGGGAAAGAGTAGGCAGCTGTTGAGGAAGGGATCTAGGCACTTGCTTTTTGGACACTGGATTTCGGGGCAACTTCCTTTATTTTCCCAATAGAGGTGGCAGGAAACCCAGGTGCTGGAGGGCCCCTGCTGGACCTGTGGGCTTCCCATATAATTCCCACTATTGCTGGCTCTTGATGGCTTGTTTAGCGGTGTTCACCTGTGCCGCTTGGTTTTCATACAATGAGAGCTGAGGGTCAACTCTCTTACTATTAGAAAAGTACAAAAGTATTATGGGTTTGAAGGGCAGTAACAACTCTAGTTGGAATCTGAGCTTGAATGTAATTCAAGGTTAGGCGGAAGTAATCTTATTTATAAATAAACAATTCTTTCCCCAAGGTAGTATGATAAATGTTAGGTTGAAGTTTGGAAATGCAGCAGGGCATTTTTTAAAAATCAGCTTTATTGAGATATAATTCACATACCATACAATCCACCCATTTAAAGTGTAACAATTCAGTGGTTTCTAAGATGTTTACAGAGTTCTGCAACCATCACCACAATTCATTTTAGAACATTTTCATCATCTCAAAAAGAAATTCCATAACCATTAGTAAGAATTCCCTGTTTTTCTTCCCCTCCCACACCTGTCCTGTCAGCAATCCCACTACTGGGTATATATTTATCCAAAAGAAATGAAGTCAGTACCATGAAGAGATATTCATACTCCCCTGTTTATTGCGGCTCTGTGCGTAATAGCCAAGAAATGGAATCAAGCTAGGTGTCCATCAGTGGATAAGTGGGTAAAGAAAACACACTATATACACATGACAGAACACTGTTCAACATACAAAGGAGTGAAATCCTGTCCTTTGTAACAATAGGGATGAATCTGGAGACATTACGTTAGGTAACATGAGACAGGCCCAGAAAGCAGGGCATTTTCAAAATAAGAAAACCACACAAGAAGGAAAAAGAAACACTGGAGGAGGTGAGACCAGTGATAAAGTTTCCTCTAATACTTGGATTTGTTCAACAACCATTTATCAAGCTGGGTCTATGCCGAGCCAGGTCCTGTAATGAATAAGTAAATGGCCAAGTTAACCAGACAGTGTTTTAGAGAAAACGGGTGCTGAACAAGATTGTTTCTATTTCCATTGAAGTAGTAAACATTAGTGAAATCTTGTGTGGCACATTGTCTTATTCTAAGCTCTCTGCCCTCTTCTGGCAAGTGACCTTCCAGGGAGCTAGAAGAGCAAGGAGAGTATATTTCTTCGCCCTGTAGGTGTTGGGCTTGGCCATGTGACTTGCGTGGTCAACAAAATTTTAATGAACTTGGCGGCGTGAGGCCTTAAAAGTGCTTGAGTGGTTTGACATGGACTCTTGCATTCCTGCGTTTTGTCATTAAAGGAACATGCCCCAGATAGCTGCTGGTCCAGAGAACGTGGAGGCAAGTGGAACAGAACTAGACTAGATAAAAAGCCTGGAGCCAAGCTCAGCTGACGTACAGCCAAAAACATAGCTGCTCAAGGCAACCAGTTGTCTCATGAGCAAGAAAATATATAAATGCCAGTTGTAAGTGCCTGAGTTTTGCAGTGGTTTGTTATATAGTAGTATTGCAATGATAGCTGACTGGTAGAGCTTTTAAAATTAAAGTTAATCAAATGGTCAGTGGGACAATAAAAAGATCAAGTTTTGCATTATTGGCTTTTACTGACCAACAACAGTAATTTTGGTTTTGAAATCACTGGAAAGCCTTTTCTAGCAGAAAAAAAAAATGATAACGGGACAAAGAGGAAACTTTTCCAAAGAGGACAGTTTTACCTGTCCAAGAAATATTCCAGCAGGAATCAGTTCACTGTCCTTGGGATTCTCATGTGTTTTACAAAGTAGCTTCCTTGGCTGTCACAAGCCATTACCTGTTTCTCCCTTTCCTGCTCTGGCTTGCTGTGGCCACATTTCCCGTGGTTGCCATTGCCAATCAGCATCTGTGCCACCAATGGTCACTGAAGGTGCTTTGCCTTCATTCAAAGAAGGCTGCCAATGCCAGATGTCAAGGGTCTCATGTCTACACCGAGGCACTTTCTCTTGTCACTGCTAAAGCTGCTGGAACCAATTTTGCAGACATCCTTTGCTTTTAGCACCTTGCTCTTCTAATTCTCACTCAAATATTAGAGGCAGCCATCTCATCTTGGGCTTCTTCATGTCAATCAGGGCTGGGAAAAATAAGAGCTGGACACTGCATTGTAGTTGAATTCTTCTTCCCTAGTCTCTGGCAATGCCTGCTCTCTGGGACTCAACTTGAGAAGTTTTACTTTCTTCTCAAGATGAGTTCTTTGCTAAGAATCTCCTTAGTAAACCTCTGGAAGGTGTGAGGACACCTCTGGAAGGCTGCTCCACCAGCCTCTGGCCATGCCCAGGGTCCCCAGAGTCCCAGCTGTGTTAGGACTTCTACACATTTTGTTTTCCTGTAATGGAGGGTGAAACTGGGACAG